AATCAAAGAAAGAACTCGGTCGGGTCTAAGCTCTCAACTTCAAGGAAGGCGTTCCTCGAGAGCAGAAATGTCATCTACCTTTCCAACGGAATCTTTGACCGACTAACGTGAGTTCTAAGAAAAGAGAGAGACTTTAAGCTAAAGAAACCACTTTTTTTTACCTAGACATTCTTCTAAGAGTTCAGGGCTAATAGGCCCAGTCTGATAGTTATTGGCTGAGAACATAGAGCGGGGAAAGTTCTGACTTTGTGGTTCCCTAAGAGCAGTTACCTCCTGTCCCGGAAAAGCCTAACCTGTCTAGCCGGAAAATGCCTCCTTTTTATTACCTCCAATAGATAAGTTCTAACACTGCAAGGTGTTATTCTGGGAGTGTTGCATGCCCAATAGAAATCTTTCTTAGACTTTACCCCTTACAGAGAGAATAATACAAACTTGAATACCCGAAACTCCAACGGAAGAACTCCGGCAAAGACTTCCACTAGCTCGATTGTTCCGCTTAGGGCCCGTAGGAATCTGAAGCCTTAGACTTCTTACACCGGGACAAATGAAACTACTATATCCGGAAAACTTCTACTCTGTCACTGTTTCCCGCGGCTTTTTTTCAATGGAATTACAGCGAAGTCGAGTATGGACAGAGAGGGTAGCTCCTTTTCGTCGAAAGCTTTGAAGCAGTAGCCACTCTCTGCGCATGTTCAATAAGATAGCAGCTCGATCGAATATCTCCGATCACTTTTTTTAAGCGAGCACCCTGCACACTGGATCGTAGGCAGCTGTGGCCGACCTGTAGGTCTTTTGTTCGGATTCTGATGTTAGAGACTCAAGGGGTTCCTCCAGTTTCGCTGAAGAAGCTAGGTTCCTCCTGTGACAGGCTTATTTCTCTTATGGTAGGGCAGTAGCAAGAAGCCTCCATAGGGGGTGCGACTCCTATGACTACTCAATCGATTAGCATAAACTAAAGGAAGAGGTGGGATTTCAAGGGTTAGCCGAGGAATTCAATGAAGTTTCCCAATCTACAATCCTAGCCTCCCTAGCAGGTAACTATTCTCTACTCACTTCTTGGGGCACTTGGTATAAAAACCCCTCTCCTTTCAGTCGAGTGACTTCGCCCCACTCGGGGAAGGAATCGAAAGATAGTGAATGACAAAACAAGTGAGGGTAGTGAGACTTCAAATCTTCGAGTAGAATCGGTTTGTTTGCAAATCCCCAAGCTGTGGCACTGATGACTTTGTTACCTTTTCCCGATTCTTTGAATATTGATTATGCCTTTTTCCTTTCCATCTCCCTTTCCTTTCCAAAAATGATTGATTTGCAATTGGGTAGTAAAAGTGACTTGTTTCCAAAGATAGGGAGGGATAGGGGTCGCAAGGAATAAGTCGTTTTCTCAGGATCAGGTCCCTTCCCCCTTTATTTTCAGAAGTGTAGTACCTGTCTAATGCGGTAACTGATCTCATATCTCACATCTCGATCTCTCTCAATGGAAGCTATCTTGCTCAGTTTAGGGCGTAGGTAGGGGGATGCACTCATTGCTGCTCTCCGACCTTAACTTAAAAGAGAAGGTAGCTCAAGCAGAATCCGAATCGGCTAGCTCTCATTTATTATATGGTGGAAAACAGCCTGTAAGGAGGAACGGAGTTGGCTTTTCCCGTTGGTCAAGCAGGCTTCGCTCCTTGTGATTCATCTCGCGTCCTATGTACACACGTACTTGTCTCGTTTCGAGTGCTAGGACCAAAGAAATCCGAAGAATTCTACCAATAAGATCTTAACCAGCCATTGAGTAGTAGCTTTTGTTTATTCAACGGATCGACCAGAGAGGCCATTCTGCAACCTGAAAAGCCTTATTTGATTCTTTCTACCTATTCTATGCGTGCGTCTCGATAATCTTTTAGAAGAGCTTCCATGCCCCATCTTAGGTCCCAATTCAACTGCACCCGCTATAGCATTTCAAATAAGTGGTTATTGAGTTCACGGAACACAAACAGAATCTTGAATTTCGTATAGAAAGAAAAGATTCACTTCTATTCTCGGAGCTGAGGTATATGAAGAATGGCTTTTTTTTTTTTTGTCCCTTTCGTCTAGTGGTTCGGACATCGTCTTTTCATGTCGAAGACACGGGTTCGATTCCCGTAGGGGATATCTACTCATTCTCGGCCGCTTTCAGTTAGTGTTCATTGATCGGGTGGATCTATATGCTTCGGGGAGTGAGACGAGGTGTAGCGCAGTCTGGTCAGCGCATCTGTTTTGGGTACAGAGGGCCATAGGTTCGAATCCTGTCACCTTGATGTATTTTTTTTCGCTATGCCGCTCCGCCCGCCACAGCATATATATAAAAAAGAGGGAAAAAAGAACAACCGTTTGACTTTGGCACATGAGGTGGCGGGTTTGGCTAGGTAACATAATGGCAATGTATCGGACTGCAAATCCTGGAATGACGGTTCGACCCCGTCCTTGGCCTCTCCTTTCAGTCGAGTTACTAAAGTACCTCGGGGAGTGACGAGCAGCACTCCACCTTAATGAATTAAATGGCATAAGGTTTCTTTGTTAGAAATCCACAGACAACATACTAGAACTTCCAATCCAATCAAAACCAAAGAAATGCAACATGAGAAAGAGCTTTTTACGTTACGCTTCATCAATAGAATGAACGAAGTAAGGGGTTCCTCCGCTTCGCCATGCAATCCCAGGAATCAGACTGGAAGCTACCAACTGATCCCACCATGCCTAGGAATTCCCATCGAACGGAGAAATAGATTCAACAGAGGGGTTCTTCCAGCTTCGCTGAAGAAGCTAGGTTCCTCCGCCCCATGGTTGATCGAAGGTCCTATGCCACTGAAACTCAAATCTATCTGACCTTCAATCCATCTTTGTCCCGCTCCATCTCATTTAATTAATCCACTTGGCCCGAAACAAACAAGCAAATATCCAAGTCCGGTTCGGAAGGCGTTCCTCGGGCCAGTCAATGCATTCGTACCAGGAGGTAATGACCAGAAGTAGCTCTATTCGAGGTCCCATCGTTCTCCCTCCGCCCCCAAGGCAGTAAGCCATCTCCTGGAATCAAATACCCGTCCACTCCATCTTCTCTTGGGAAGCCCCAACAACGAGATAAGCAACTGACGAGGAACGCCTTCAAGCTTTGAGTGGACCGGGTAGCGTTAATCAGAGTGAATGAAAGGTCAAGGGAACAAGCAACGGATTGAACAACGTTAGCGAAAGCCGTTGCGCTAACGCGCATCCGTTTTCTTGCTCGTCTTCCTTGATCTTTGAATATGGAAGGAAGGCTAGAATCTTCTTTCCGCTTTCAAATCTTCCGATTTCGATGAGAATCAAAAAGATCAAAGCCTGCAGGGTCAGAATAATGGAATTAGACTAGTTAAGTTCAGTTAGCAATTCAATCAGCCTTAGCTAATAAAGCGAATATCCTTCCGCTTCAACCCAATCTTACTCGAAGAACTAGTTATGTTTGCCGGAAGTACGGTCAGTGTGAGGGGTGGCACTGTACCTGTGCTTTTCAGTATTCAATAAGCCAGGAAGGAAGTGTGCATTCAGCTGTGCTTCTAAGTCAGCTTGGCTTGTGGTTGTGGATCGAACTATGACTCCAAATAGACTCGGGGTTGGGAAAGGCCGTTGATATTCGTAGATCGTGAGTTCATTCCCTTGCTTTTGGGCGATGATTCGATTCTTCTGGGCTTGCTTGTGGCCACTTAAGAAAGAGTTCTGCCTTCTAGCCAAGCCTTTGAGTTTGAGACCAAGTAAAGCTTCCCGGCAGTCAACCAAGAAAGACTCTTTCTCCCCTACTGAAGAAATGGAAGTCAGATCTTTTTCCATACCATAACGTATATAGAATCGATTTTCTTTTCTGATCGCTAGCCTGCCGGGCCGCCCCCGCGATCAAACTATCAATCTCATAAGAGAAGAAATCTCTATGCCCCCTTTTTCTTGGTTTTCTCCCATGCTTTTGTTGGTCAACAACCAACCACAACTTTCTATAGTTCTTCACTACTCCTAGAGGCTTGACGGAGTGAAGCTGTCTGGAGGGATTTGTTGAAATCAATTCATCTAATCATGCCTCAACTGGATAAATTCACTTATTTTTCACAATTCTTCTGGTTATGCCTTTTCTTCTTTACTTTCTATATTTTCATATGCAATGATGGAGATGGAGTACTTGGGATCAGCAGAATTCTAAAACTACGGAACCAACTGCTTTCACACCGGGGGAAGACCATCCAGAGCAAGGACCCCAACAGTTTGGAAGATCTCTTGAGAAAAGGTTTTAGCACTGGTGTATCCTATATGTATGCTAGTTTATTCGAAGTATCCCAATGGTGTAAGGCCGTCGACTTATTGGGAAAAAGGAGGAAAATCACTTTGATCTCTTGTTTCGGAGAAATAAGTGGCTCACGAGGAATGGAAAGAAACATATTATATAATATATCGAAGTCCTCTCCTTCAAATACTGGAAGGTGGATCACTTGTAGGAATTGTAGGAATGACATAATGCTAATCCATGTTGTACATGGCCAAGGAAGCATAAAATGATTCTTTCATTCTATAGATACCTCTGGTAGGTAAAGCACTCTACTGTGCTTTATTGAAAGTTCCCCTCGCGGGGGCGAGGATACTTGCCTTCGCGGTTCGACTTTCTTTTCAGGCTTGACTCATTATTTTCCGGTCCTCTCACACCCCTTTAGAGCTCTTTATGATGCCCACTGAGTAAGATTCGGGGGCTTCCCGGCGCAGAAGCTCATTCTGAACCGCGGGAACCTTCGTCTCTTCGACACAAACGTTTTATGAAGAGGCTGATGGTGATGAGGATCCATGCGCACTCAAATAAAAGTAGCTTGCGTATTGGGTTATCCACGGTGTTAGGTGCTCCATTGCACCCTCATGTGGAGGGTAGGATAATTTGGACTCTTTTGGAGCACTATACTCCGAAAGATCCTATCCTTCCTCCTCTTCTTTCAGTCGAGACTTCCTCCTAGTGAGGTGTTGCCTATCCAGGTATGGAAGTATTCAATGAATACACTCTGTACCATGGGTGGATGAAGCTTTATCTGGAGTATCAAAGATGGAATTGTATGCTAAGGCTTAGTGCCAGTATAGAGCTTGAAGTCTTTATGGATGTGCCGATCTTTATCCGTACATATTACCGACCTGCGAACATGGATGATTCGTTCAGGTACGGGATAATATTTAGGATGTATGATTTGGCTGTCCAGTTACAGTGGGGCAATGTCATGAAATTGCTACCAGTAACTAAGACTCAAGTGGAGACAAAAAAAAAAAGCACTCAATTTGAATGTAAGTAAAACACGGGATGGAAGAGGAGGCCTGAACCAACAGGGATGAANGACCTGCGAACATGGATGATTCGTTCAGGTACGGGATAATATTTAGGATGTATGATTTGGCTGTCCAGTTACAGTGGGGCAATGTCATGAAATTGCTACCAGTAACTAAGACTCAAGTGGAGACAAAAAAAAAAAGCACTCAATTTGAATGTAAGTAAAACACGGGATGGAAGAGGAGGCCTGAACCAACAGGGATGAAACAGTATAGAATTCCCCTGGGCGAAGCAAGTCACCGATTAGTAACCTAAGAAAGAGTTGTCAACGGGCGAGTGTCCTGCTATAAGGTAAACTCCTACTATTTCAGCTTCTTTTCCCGTGGTCGAAAGCTAAATATCTCAAGATGAGATTTTCCAAACTCTCGACAAGCAGCAAATAGAAAATGAAAAGAAGATTTTGAAGGATATGATTTCATCTAAGGAGTGGCGGTTAACAGAAGGCCATTTCAACTTATGCTCTAAAAAGATAGAAAGCATTGTTGATAAAGCCCTCTCTTTATATAAAGAGGGCTTTAGCGCCTTCGGATAAAGGAAGATTCCGATATTCACATAGGTATTTAAGCCTACTTCGGGGATCTGAACAGCTTCCCCTCAAATGGGAGCCGTTTAAGTCATCTTAAAAGAGTCCTCGACTGTATTGGAAAAACAAAAAGTCCAATATGGCGGGAGATCTCTAATTTGATTGAGAGCTTTCAATCAAATTAGATTGTAAAGTAGTAGTCCTGTGTAAAAAAAAGCTGGTGGGGCGGGGTCCAAGCAAGCGTAAGGGGAGGGGGACTAGGGTGGAAGGGTCGTCGAAGGAGATGCATTTCTGGTACAAGTGGTATTGGACAAGATCTCAGGGAATCATCTCTTTCAGATTTCTGCCTTTCTTTCCCATGACGACTAGGAAAAGGCAAATCAAAAATTTTACTTCGAATTTTGGACCTCAACATCCTGCTGCTCATGGTGTTTCACGATTAGTATTGGAAATGAACGGAGAAGTGGTGGAACGTGCGGAACCACATATTGGATCACTCCAGTGCGGCACGAAGCCGCTGACGCCGAGTCGGCTCCTATGCCGCTAGCTATGCCCTGCTTGGTCCCCCGGCACGGTGGAGGTTCCGTAGCGGGTCATGAGCACCGGGCTAAGGGGCGAAGTCACTCGACTGAAAGGAGAGGGCGTAAGCATGACTCGAGCACTTGTCTAGAGAGGGGCGGTTGAGCAACTCAAGCGAACCGCCCTACCTTACTACAACATAGGGACAGAGGGGAGAAGGTTGTGAAGGTGGCCTCGTTATCCATACCTCTGGTCGGATGAATGGAGGACCGCCCGACCCGGGTTTCATGAGCGTTGGCGGGTCCTGGAGTGCCTGTCAAGGGCGCTAGCGCATACCCCGGGGTGATCATCATCACCTGCACCTCACATCTCGGCGTAGTGGAACGTGTAACCCGCCTGCTGTCTCATTCAACTACATTTGTTCCTGTAATCTATAGCCTAACAGAAGGCAGCGTCGAGGGGCTTTAGCAACTCGACTGAAAGGAGAGGAGAGAAATTCCCATACAGCCAGCGGGGAGGATGGCACTACAGGCAAAGACCGTCTGGCGAAAACGCCGCAGGCGCGAAGCGTGGTAGGCCTGCGCCGGGTGAGCATAGGGGGAAAGGGATCCCGGACGGTGGAAGAGCCAGGGGAGGCCGGGTCATTTGACGGAAATGGAAGGAGGAACCCCTCTTATAGAAAGCCCTATGAAGTTAAGGGAAGTGAATGAATTCTTGGAAAAATAGGGAGCGAGCCTATATATAAAATGTAAGAAAGTCAATTATTCAATGAATAGATGATAAAGTCAACCATACGACAGACAGCGCTGCCTACACGCGAATTAGCTTCCGAGGTCGAGCAGTCTCAATTTCACTACAGGATTTGCGAATGAATGCTGGGCTGGGCCACCTCGAATGGCGTGAGCCGCATGCGGGGAGACCCGCACGTACGGTTTTTAGGGGGATCTGGCCGAAAGACCGGCCGGCGCCCACCCGACTAGAGGGACTGAGAAATTAATAGAGTACAAAACTTATCTTCAAGCTTTACCTTATTCTGATCGTTCAGAGGGCGATCGCGGAGTCACTGAATGAAGTCCTCCGTTTCTTTCGGAGGTGCTGACCCGCAGCGAGGCAGAGATGACTAAGTGACATATGGAATATGGCGACAACAACAGCATGTCGTAGAAGGAGAGAACAGGTGGAGCCAACGACCCACGTTGACTAACGTATCTACAACTACATCCCCGAGCGGCAGTCAAACGGAGGCGTGAATGCAAGATGCCAGCGGAATGATCGGCCGGACAGAGGCTAGGGCGAAGGAACCCCTTCCCACCGCGTCCTTCCCTGTGTATCGGAGATATAAAGCGAGTGCACCGGAAAAGAACGGGAACTGGGTCGATCTATTGCGAAGCATCCGAAGCATAACTGCACACTCACACAATCTTTGCCGAGAGATAGGAGCATTCGGTGGAACCGGTGAACTACACTTGCTTCTGGATAGATGTGTGGGACAGAGGGCTCGTGGTACCTTCTGCCCACCCTTCCTCCTCTGCTTTGAGAACTGTGTGAACGGAGAGTGGGCAGAAGGGAAGGAGGTCCTCATACAGAGAAAATCAGGGAATGGGTCGAGATAGATGACAGCGCCGAGGAACGCCGAGGAACGCCTTGCCGGGAGGGCAATCTTCTCTTATGGTCTTCACCTCCCGCCCGACCTGGAAATTGAATCCAGCCCCCCCCTCTTTCTGATCCATTCATTTCTGCAAGCCCAGAGCGTTGCCTCCCTTCTATTGCATAACCTAAAAAGCTATAAGCAAAGTACCAAAAGCGCGCTCCGCCCGGTGACTAAGAAAGAAATTGGTTTGCGCAACAATTGAAGTGATGAGGCGTTCCTCTCCTTTCAGTCGAGTAAGAAATACCTCGGGAAGTAGGGCTTCTATTGAAAGGCTTTCCCTCCCTCAAAAGGGGACTAGCTTTCAATACTAGTTCTTACGTTACGCTGCCATTTTTCCAATATCATTGAATAGCATGGCCTGGGGCTAAAATAACTCAAGTGGGAGAGCCGTGTTATGGGTGACCTTATTGCACGGTTCAGAGAGCACTTGTGTATGTGATGCAAGTGAACGTGTACGAAAAAGCTGTCGTAAAGTTTCGTTTTTCGTTCCGTTTTCGACCCTATCTATGTTTCTATGATGGCCCAAGAACACGCTCATTCTTCAGCTGTAGAGAAACTTTTGAATTGCGAGGTACCATTACGAGCTCAATATATACGAGTGTTATTCCGTGAAATAACTCGAATTTCAAATCATTCACTTGCTTTAACTACTCATGCTATGGATGTGGGAGCATTAACTCCGTTCCTGTGGGCTTTTGAGGAGCGGGAGAAATTGTTGGAATTCTATGAAAGAGTCTCGGGAGCCAGGATGCATGCCAGTTTCATACGACCAGGTGGAGTGGCACAAGATCTGCCTCTTGGCTTATGTCGAGATATTGATTCCTTCACACAACAATTTGCTTCTCGTATCGATGAATTAGAAGAGATGTCAACCGGCAACCGTATCTGGAAACAACGATTAGTGGATATTGGTACTGTCACTGCACAGCAAGCAAAGGATTGGGGATTCAGTGGTGTAATGTTAAGAGGTCGTGCGACATGAAGACATTGATAGCAATATGGGGGAAGTTCCCATCAGGCAACAATGGTTCCGCCTGACTCTACTTAAGCATGCATATTATGTAAGTGAAGACTTGGTGTGAAGCCTTGGAGCTTACGTTAGAAGAGCAAAAGGCCCGGGGCTAGGGTGAGCTGAGGGGGGACAGCGTAAGTGAGCGAATGTGTGTAAGCCCAGTCAAAGATGACTGTTCTAGGCGGGGGGAGCCACCCACCTTTGAATGGTGTTGGTCCTACAGACCGTGAACGGATTTCGCCTCTGGCCTCTGGGCACGTCGGAACCGCGCGAGTTCACCGGGGTGGAGCACGGTCCGCCAAAACCGGCATAGATTAGGTGCTATTGATGGAACATGGTAAGCCTATCTTTCTCCATATGGAAGTGCTGCGAGCACTTAGAGATGCGGGTAGAGGAAGCCTCAAAAAGCGAAGGCCGAGCTGTAGGTCACGTGACCTGCACCGAGTTGGTGGCTGACTGGGCTTTTTCCTTGATCAAAGCAGATCAACTCGCCTTCTTTCTTGTTACCCAAAACTAAAGTCGGTCGAATGGTTTTTTTCCTGCCCCGGAACGTCGAATGAAATAGGGGGCCGGGTTCTCTTTCTACAACCCTTTTGATATGATAGGCCCGGCTACCTTTCCCCTATCCCTTATGATTAGGGGGCTGTTAAGCCCAAGAACGACCAGTCTTGTGGTGGTACGGAAGGAACGGACTCCGCGAACGTCCCGCGCCCCGGAAAGAAAGTCTCAACCAGAACCACATTCCTTTTGCGTGCGGATGTAGCTAAGTGTCTGACTCTATTGGTCATAGTTTCCTGCTGTTGCGGCTGGTGCTCGTTTGCGCGCGCGTGAACCAACTCAACAAAGAAGGAAAGGATGCCCGGGGAGGCATCTGAGAATGATTCGAGCCGTATGAAGGGAAACTCTCACGTACAGTTTGTTTTTTTTGGGGGGGCAGGAGCCCGACAGGGTCCCCCACTGACTTGGCCCGGGCCTAAGTGAAAGTGAAGTGGTGGGCCTACCCATCCCAACCAGGGGTATGCTGGGATTCGCGAAGAGCAGCACCTTACGATGTTCATGACCAATCGGATCCTGACGTACCAGTAGGTACCAGAGGAGATCGCTATGATCGTTACTGTATCCGTATCGAAGAGATGCGACAAAGTCTTCGGATCATTGTGCAATGTCTTAATCAAATGCCTAGCGGCATGATCAAAGCCGATGATCGTAAGCTATGTCCTCCATCACGATGTCGAATGAAACTATCCATGGAATCGTGCGTCGTGTGAAACGTAGATCATCGCCGTTCTTAACCGAGACTCAGGTTAAGCTCCGTCTCGGAACCTTGTGGGTTAGGAGTAAAGCATCCCGAGGTTGGCGCATCTCATTGGGCGTAGAGAAGCATTGGGAACCCCAATTTCTTTCTTCGGAGCCGTTTCTTTTCCCGTCCCCCCACCCCGGCATAGCGCTTCGCTTCCGGTTCTTCGGAAGAATCAACTTACTTCTACCTTCTTCATTGATCTGGGGGAAAAGGAACCGTCTACCAGTTGGGAAGCTAGACATCAAGTAAGTGGCTTGATGAGGATAACTAAGCTGACACGCCGGAGTTGGCTGCTGGCACAACAGGGTGGTGCCTTACCGCGCCGCAGGCGAACGCGCGGTAGCGTTCGTGGTGGTGCTTCAGGATTCCAATGTACTGCGTCCAAGATCAGAACGAGCTTGCCGGCGGACCACTGCCGTCCCATTCTTGAGTGAGCTGGAGCACAGCCATCTTATCCACTGAACTAGCTAGAAGCTATCGCTTCGGGTCGAAGCACTAAAAGAAAAGCACCGGGAAACGCGGCGGCATAGGAACCACGGGACCCCCACCCTACTAGTAAAGGGAAAACGGAAGTGCGCTCCTGCGCACCAGCTGAAAAAGCCCTTTCCCCTTTCTCTGATAATAAGGAAAGCTTCATAGCTCCAACCTATACAAGGGGTTTTTATGTCCTTTTTATAGGTTGGGTTGTTGGATACGGGATCCTCGTAGTAGGCTGGACCAACATCCAGCCGAGAGAGGGCAGCCTCTAGAAGCAACAGGTTGGGAAACCAAGAGAACGCTTCGCCTTTTCTTATCTTCTTCCTGCCCTAGGAGTAGAAGTAGCACAAAAAAAGAGGGATTAGCATTATTGACCCAATGATAAACCACTAACACCTTCCTCGTTGGGGCCCCGCGCACTGGGAAAACGCCGACGCTACGGGAAACCGGCCACTAGTTACAAAGCTCCAATAAGGCGTTCCTCGAGAGGGCTATCACAGTCAGGTGCGGAGCAATTACCCCTATTTTTAAAGTACCCTTCTTCCTATTTAGGGGGTTGAGGCGAGAAATGGCTTGATGAATCGTTCCGTTCGCCATGCACCGGCCCCATTCACTTGATTCTCGTAGAGGCTGTAAGTACACAGTGCCCCACAACTATCAATAGTATAGTGGGGTTGAAAGACGAGAGTGCCCGCCCTTTTCTTTCAAGTGGGCCACTTTTTTTTCCCGAACGCAGTCCGGGATCACCGTGGCCGTGTATATATATACAAATATCTTCGATGCTGTCATTTCGAAATGTCCGCTTCAACCCCGAGGAACGCCTCCCAAAAAAAGCAAAGTTGGCTTGACGAGCGCAGATGTGAGGAAGCGGGAGCAATAAAACAAAAAATATCTTTCTTGTCCTTCTACTTAAGGGGCAAAGAGAAGCGCTTTTGCTACTGAGAAAGCGAACGGTCAGCGCGAAGGTTCAAGACTTTTCTGAGCGTTAGCGAAGCTAGATTCTCATAGCGAGGCGCTTCGAGTTAGCGAAGCGCTGTAGTAGCGCCGAAGCCCTATGTGCTATAATGCTGAGCCAAGGACACTCCGCCTTATCTATAGAAGCAGTCAACTGAGTTCTGAACGAATTAGATCCTTGGTAATGGCTCAATCTATAGATAGAAAGCCCTATGATGGGAAACTACCACGTTAGGTTTGGAGAGAGATGGGACCGGTTATATAATAGAGGGAGCAGATGCAAGCTTTTTTCTTTCAATAGCCGGCCAAATGACTACAGGATCATCGGTCTACTCTACCTCAATTCACCATTTCGAACTTTATACAGAAGGTTTTTCCGTACCAGCTTCTTCTACCTATACCGCAGTTGAAGCACCTAAAGGAGAATTTGGTGTCTTTCTGGTCAGTAATGGAAGCAATCGTCCCTACCGTCGTAAAATAAGAGCACCCGGCTTTGCCCATTCACAAGGACTCGATTCTATGTCCAAACATCACATGCCAGCAGATGTGGTCACCATCATAGGTACTCAAGATATTGTGTTTGGAGAGGTGGATAGATAGGACGACTAGTTGCCAGGACCTTAGCTTTATTGCGAGCCCAGAAGTCTCTCTTTTTTTTCGGCCTTCAGGAACAGCCTTTAAGTCAAATCCAACCTAATATCATTCATATCCTTCTACATAGAAGAAAGACACTCTAAGATCCTTTTTAAAACCTGCTCCCATTTAGAGTCAAGAGATAGATAAATAGACACGTCCCATTGCCACTTGATGGGGGGGGGCGTTCGTTGTATGTTGAAGCAGAGATGAATAGGGTGACTGTGAAGAGAGTGGTGGTTGATCCTGACTCCACAGTCAATCTCATACCTATGTCCACTAGGCATTCAAAAAGAAAAGATTGGAGGAGCACTTCTCGAGGTATATAATTTGAGTTCGAATAATTGTCAAATCAATTTTCTAGGAATGGTATGGTCAGAGTCAATTGCAACGTTGGACCTTTTCAGAGTCCGATAGAGTTCCAGGTTGTTTTTGCACCGACGACATATTACGCTCTTCTAGGCAGACTCTAGATTCATAAAAACCAAGCGGTCCCATTGACATACCATCAATGTATTAAAGGTATAATCAAAGGAAAATAAGTACTCGTACCAGCGGTGAGCACTCCCTTCGAAAGATCTGAAATCCATTTTGCTGACGCTATACATTATTCGGAGTTTGCCGAGGATGGAGAGCTTTCATTGAAAGAGGTCCAGGGAGCTGTTGGCTTACTCGTTGGGAGGCGTTCCTCGAGAACTAGATAGCTAGTCTGTCTGGTTCTGTTCTCGAGGAACGCCAGTCTCTCGACTGAGAGGAACGCCTCTTACTAAAGTAGTTCAAATAGATAATCCATCTAAAATGGAACATTCGCTTCTAGATCGCTTGCTAGAAGTAAGGAAACTCCTGAGTACGGAATTGAGACCGAAGAAAGGAGATTCCGTAAATTGACTCTGAAACAAGAGGCAGGAACTCTTCTGCTGCTGTTTGCAAGCTCTTTCTTTAGCATTAGTTAGCATTAGAATCCCGCCCTTCCTGACGGAGCTCTCCTACCCTTCTCAATGCAGGAATTCGCATACAATCGACCGGTACCATAGCTATATTCAATCCGGTGGGTCAAGGGAAGGAGAGCCGGATTGCAGATCGGGTTAAATAAAGCGGGTGAACACTAGCAACCAGTACAAAACTACCCCGTCAAAGACGGAAAATTGGTATAAACCAAGATAGCAAATGGAATGATTAACTAGTGCCACCCCAAACCCATAAACAATCTAACCACAGGTATGGATTGACACCGCGAAGGAAGTCAATACAGGAGGGTTGGGAGTGAATGGAATATCGAGATAGATATCAAGATATCCCATCAACCCAAAACCCTTAACAAAGCTAGAATGCTTATGTTGCGTATAGTAGCCAGGGGGCCGAGCAAGAGACCTCCAATAAGGTCAAACCAACGGGCAAATCAGTCCCAAGAGTGAAAGGGAGTTTGAACTGTGAACATATAGGATTCCGCTAATCCTTATGCTCTAACTAGTCTTAAATGAAAGAGATATCGATTCCTTTCCCTGGTGTACTAGACTTGAATTCCTTTGCAGTCTTAGGCTTTTGAGCTTTTTTCATTCAAAGCGGGATGCTTGCTAGACTGATAAGCCAGAGAGAGGAAAGGAAGGAATCAATTATTGAGTGGGAGTAGGGTCTATGTCTATGTTGAACAGATTTGGGGTACAGTCAATTTTCGTGCCATGATCTTATCCATAATGTCCCCTTTTAGAGAGCAGTAGAATTAAGAGCTTTGAGATCGTCAATACAAAATCCGATCAAATTAGGATAAAATGTACTGGCTGGAGGGACAGACTCCAGAAAAAACCGCGGTCATACTTGAATCAAACCATTTACTGTTCTGAAACTCCATAGCCTGGAATTTAGATAGGCGAGAGGTGCTCCCTGTAGTTAGTGAGTCGTCCCGGCCTTTAGTCTTGATATTATCCGAAATGGGGAGAGTTTATACGAACCAGTAAGAATAGCCCGTTCCAGTCTAACGAGATTCACTCTCTAGTAAATCAAATCATATATTTTGACCGTCTCCTGTATTTGTAGGATTCTTAGGTGTGGGTTCAGGTTTAGCAACAAAGTGAGGCAGAAGTTCTTTCATTCCTCATTCACTTCTAGGACTTGGGTTAGAGAGGGGGGAATATAGTAAATAAATAAAGTAGAAGTGCAGTTCCTATTTCTCAGCTCAGATTAGAGCACCAGCTGTTACGCTGACAACCCCCGTTACGCCGCGCTTGAAATCCTAGCCCTAAGACGGAGTAGTCTTAGTAGCAGTAGGATTACCGGATTCCGCTTTATGTCTTTCTTTCTTACTTTCTCTAAGCACTCATTGTATTTGAATTTGACCCGCTCAGAAGAGCTATGTATCCGGTCTTGGGAGTCAAATAAGGGCATGGCTTAAACCAGCTCCCTAGCCTAGGGTGAGGTCTCATAATAGAGTAAAGTAGGACAGAAGGATTAGCTTAGCAGTGAACAAAAATCATTCAATCAGCTCAAGAGCTGGGAGTTCTCCTTCTAGGTTTCGGAATAGAAGGAAGGAGGCTCCCAGGAGGTAAGTCCTGCTTGATTGCTTTCACCAGGTTTATAAAGACTGGTTCGAAAGGACCAGGTCGGGATAGGCTGGGAGTCGATTAGCCCGAGTTGTGTTAAGATAAGTGGCACTTGAATTTGAAGTAGACATCGGCCAGGTCTTGGATGCTGAATTATCGGTCTTACCACTTGTATCGATAGACCCACTTGAATTGAATGCTGAGGAGATTGATTTTCAATCCAATCCTGCCTGATCTTCGAACTTTCTCTCTGCAAAAGGCTTCTGGCAAAGCTTGAACATCCGTATCGTTAACTCCTTTTAAAAAGGAAGACAGAAGAGCTGGTAGGACGGACTGGTAAGGAATTCAATTACTTATTACTTATGAGTGGAGGGCTTCGCTTTTTTTCTATAACTGTCACTGGAACAGAAGGCCTAGTACTCCAATTGGCTTAAGTGCACTCCCAATGATATTCTAGTCTTCTTTCTTAAGAAAATATAGATATTATCGTGGAAAGAAATCTATCTCTTGAAGGAAGTCCAACTTAATTCAGTTTGATCTCCCAAGAGACGGTATGGAACGCTCGTATAGAACCCCATCCAATAGAACTCAAACCGCTGGGAACGCAACGGGATGGATGTCAACTGGTAAGAGTAGCCTTGGTCTGTAGATCTTTACAACAGGAGATCAGGAGTTAGCTCGCTTGTTTTCGGAGAGCACGAGAAAGAAGGGGCAGTCTAATTGAACTCCACTCGTTTAGAAGAAGCCTCGCCAGTCAGGGGGATAGGGCAAATTTCTTCACAGCATGAAGAAAAGAGAGGGATTCAAAAAAGGCTAGCTCCTTAGAAGGGATTTGAGTGCTTTAGACTAAGAAGTGAGATTAGATAGGCTTGTCTTAGGATTTGATGCACATTCAAGGGCAACTTCTGCTTATGGGTAGGCACCTAGTGCTACAATGGCTGTAACAGATTCAGAGATTACATTTGCCCTTGGATACACACCACACATTGATTGGATTTGAAAGGTACGAAGGGTCCATAACGGACAGGAACTACAACTATTGATACTCGGTCTAGACTAGGGGGGGGAAGGCACTGCAGGAAACGGGACTGCTGTACTGTAAAGGGGTTACCGTCGAAGGTAAGGACAGAGACTGATTAAATGGGGGAGGACAGATATAGGCAGACACTTCCAAAAGGCGGAAGCATTGGCTTTTAGGACGCACTCAAACTTCCATTAAAACTCCAGGTGGCAAAACAACTCCATCCAATAAGAAAGAGGAATGTGCTAACGCCAATAAGCGTATAAGAAAAGGACTAGAACTGGCTGAAAGCACTTACCACTAGAAATAAATTGGCCTGACAGAAAAAGTCAAACCCCTCCTCTCCCTCTCGCAATAAATGCTCGAGTTCCCGAGGAACGCCTCTCCTTTCAGTCGAGTCATGACTTCGCCCTCAGGTGGGAGGAGAAACTGTACAGGACATAGCTTTCCGTCTCTTTCTTTCACAAAAAAATGAACCACCAAAAACTGTAGATTTCTTTTTTGAAAAGAGTTTTGTGGCCTTTTCAAAAAAGAAAGAAGTGCTACTCAAAATGGCGGAACTAGATCCTTACGGATCGTGGATTCAGAGTGGCGCTCGCTTTATTAAAACCGGAAAGACTTTATCGTAGAAGCGGGACTTAGAAAAGTCCTCAAATCTCTTTCTGACCATAGTGTCAATAGCCCATACTTTCAGTCTTTTTTAAAAAGACAACGTGAAGAGGAATAGATCAACAAAACAAAGAAAGGACAGGAACAGGGGTTGTTGCAGAATTGGGTTCGAGTCCCAGGGACGCAATGTGGCTGCTTAAAAAACTGATTCAACGAGATATAGATATGTCCCCATTAAGATTTCAAACTTGTCGTCTACTTTCAGGAAATGTTCGGAACAGAGAACTGACAATAATACAACGTCGCATTCTCCGAAGATTGAGGAACAGGAAGAGATCTATTAAGAAGAGAAAGATTTATCCGAAAAAATATCTTACCAGTTACATACAATTACAAACTACACGAAAGTTGCCCCTTTTTCATGGGGATTTACCCATCACAGAGATGCACAGAGGAACAAAACGAACTTCATATATCCCTTTTCCACTCAATCCAGAAACAAGATTTGACGTTATTCCGCTTCGTCTCCATTTTCTTGAAACTATTCCTCAAGCAAGGCAGCCGATAAGTCATCGAAGGGTTTGTGTGAATAAAGGAATGGTAAGCATTACTCATTTGAAACTTTCCCACGGTGATATAATATCTTTTCAAGAAAATAACGCGATAATACGCGGTGAAGAAATAAGGAGATCTTTCTATAAAGAAATTTCAGTTGAAAAAATCATAGGCAAATTACTGCATCAACCGCTAAGAATGTGGAGAAGAAGCAAAACTGAATGGTTCCACCTACTCAAAACTAAGAGGGGATGCCGCCTACTACTAAAATCCCGGTTTTTGCAACAGTTGCGTTCTTCTATGCAAGAAGAAGACTTAGAAAGAACAAAAAAGTTTGGATCCGAAAAAGTATGCTTAGGAAGTTCCTTCGCTGAGCACAAGAGAATGAAGAGGAATTTGTTAAAATCCCTATTCTTATCGAAGAGAAGGAAGGAGAAAAACCTAAATCTTCCTACTCGAACAATCAGTCCTATAGTTTACAACTCTTCTTTATCTTTATATAGTAATTCGACCTATTGCTTCGCATCCCCCCATAAGTTGACTATGAAGAGAAGAATCAAAAGGATCGAACTACCTACTCATTATTCGGAGGTTAATCATAGAACACCAAAAGCTGTGGTATCTTATGGACCTAACATAGGTCATATCCCTCACGACATAAGATTAAAAGATCCAAACCTTCCTCTTCGGAGCAGAAACGGACGTGGCCAAAACATATAAAGATCGGCGTAGTCACTCGTAGTAGGAGTCAAGATATTGCGTATAAATATATATAAAGAGAGAGTCTCTTGAGCGGCCGAGAATCTTATGTCAAAAGGACCAAGGACGATCTTTTCGGAAAGGAGGAGTCAGTCTTCTTTGAAGATCGAGGCGCGTAGCGGACAATTATGCCATTCGGAAGAAGTCTTCTACAGAGGGAAAGCCTGTATCGAGTAAGTGGAGAGGAAAGATCCCCGGAGATTCTGATATTATTCCATTCCAGTGGCTCGACCAGTAACCAATGGAGAAAACTCAAAAATCCTTTGTTTCCCGGTAGAACGGAGCCAGATAGCTTTACCAGTTGGGAGTTGTCCGTGACGAATTCCGATTCAGTAGCTATCAGTTCAGAGTAGATCTGTCCAGAGGTCGATTCATCTACACGTCTACATAAAAGCTTGAATTTCACAAGGTTCACGATAGGATTTTCTTTTAGTGGGTTGACCTAAGCCTTGAGCTTCACTAGGGGGAGGCCAGCTATCTATGGTATCCTCGGTATGAGGATGAATGTCTCTAACCTAGCTATTGCCCTGTTTTGATCCTATTCAATCGTATAGAAAGCTACTATAGACCCTAGCTATTCCGCCCCTTTCTTTTCTACATTCCATTTTTTATTGAGCCGAATCACCATCATTATATTATATATTCATTGTTGGTTTGACTGCTGGTCTAGCGATCCTTCCTAGCCGTNCTCGGTATGAGGATGAATGTCTCTAACCTAGCTATTGCCCTGTTTTGATCCTATTCAATCGTATAGAAAGCTACTATAGACCCTAGCTATTCCGCCCCTTTCTTTTCTACATTCCATTTTTTATTGAGCCGAATCACCATCATTATATTATATATTCATTGTTGGTTTGACTGCTGGTCTAGCGATCCTTCCTAGCCGTCGCCTAGAGTGCAGCCTGCCCGCTGAAGACCGTAACGTAAGTGACTCAGTGCTCCATACGGGGGAAATGAAAGCAGAATTCGTTCGGATCCTCCCACATGTTCAATCTTTTTTTAGCGGTTTCCCCAGAGATCTTTATCATTAATGCAACCTCCATTTTGCTCATTCATGGAGTTGTATTTAGTACCTCTAAGAAATATGATTATCCGCCGTTAGCCAGTAATGTGGGTTGGCTTGGATTACTTAGTGTTGCGCGCCTAGGAGGGCAGCGCGCTTGGGGATGCAGAGGAGCTATTATCGCCCAGCCCCCTACCCTAACCTAACGCGGCACCGGATTCGGACCGCAGGGAACCGTAGCATGGGGGGGCGTCTAATCCTTTTGCCGCCGCAAGGCTGGCTAATCGTACGCAGCAGGCTCGAAGACCCCTGGTTCTGGAAGGCACATGAGTCCGAACGCTATGTTGAATGTGCGACCGACACTACGTAGGTACCAGTGCAGGTGAGGCGTCGGTCGGTCCTAGAAACGGCGGCAACGGCGCGAGGAGTTAACGACCGGACGTGCTGCAACCTAGGGATCACCAGGCAGCTCTTTCGCTCTATAGGGATCGGGGGGGCATAGCACAATTCCTCTTGGAGGGGGGTTGGTTTGCCCGGGTGACTGATCCTGCCATAATGTACTCCTACCTATAGCACCGGCAACCGAAGTCAAGCATACATAGGACGATCTTCATGCGTGAATAGCCGGGAGGAAATAAAGGGCGGTAGATGATAATGAAAAAGGGCGCCGCGTCTGTACGGGCGGGCGGAATGGATGAGCAAAAGGTGCCATGGGGTGAGGAATATCCCGAGTCTCATGTAAGACAACTAAATGCACCCCGCCGAGGTGCTGCCGAGGAACTGGGAGACCTTCTCGAGCACAGGATAGGCAATTGAAAGACAAAGCTAGCCTATTCGTTATGGGGAATCAATGCTCCGGGCCGAATAAAGCTTACCTCCGGCACCTGGCTTTCCCCGGCGCATATTAGCTTAGCTGTGCTTAATAGGTCGGTTTGTTTGGCTTCCTCTCTTAGCCCATTCCTAACCAGTGGAGAAAAGGTTCGCTCATGCTGGAGGGAGCATCCCCACTTAGTGATCGGTCTGCTAGTTCACGCAAATCCGAAGAAGTTATCACGGACGAGCCACATGCAGGGAAACTTGCACGTGTGGTTCTGGCCGGGCTTTCCTGAGGTATCTAATAACCTTGCTTCTGCTCGCCGCTGGCGCACCTCTCCTAACTATTGCCCATTTATTCTGGAATAATCTTTTTAGGAGGGACAATTTTACATATTTCTGCCAAATCTTTCTATTATTAAGTACGGCTGGTACCATTTCGATGTGTTTCGATTCTTCCGACCAAGAGAGGTTTGATGCTTTTGAATTCATTGTATTAATTCCACTTCCTACTCGCGGTATGCTCTTTATGATCTCGGCTCATGATTTAATTGCCATGTATTTAGCTATTGAGCCTCAAAGTTTATGTTTTTATGTAATCGCAGCATCAAAAAGAAAGTCTGAATTTTCCACGGAAGCCGGCTTGAAATATTTGATCTTAGGTGCATTTTCCTCTGGAATATTATTGTTTGGGTACGACCGGACAACTACCGATATCAATTAATATCTTTTTTTAGAATGTTGTTGTTAAATAGATAAATATCTATCTATATTGTAAACTATCGGATCGGGTATTACTTAGATGTGAAACTTTAAGACCTCATTAGTTGTGATATTGATCTTACGGGGGGGGGAACGAAATCAAAGAATATATAGACTTGTAAAGACCCTCTATGTAGTTGTCTATCTAAAGGCGATCGATCTACATCTTTCTCCATAGCCCTTGGGCTGTGTCTCGATCTCCTACGTGCGAAATCAGAGGGACCTGTTTCTATGGAGATTCCCCTTGGTCTAATTCCACGCCTTATGACGAAAGGAGAGTCGGCGTGGCATCAAGTGAAGATTTAGGGAAGTATAGAAAAATTCCCTTCTGGGGTATTCCGAAGGTGTAACCTAGGCAACGAAAAGGGGCCCGATACTTCAACTAGAGGAGCGACCAGTTGGTTCACCAAACCCCGACCCAGCGTCACACGTTCTCCAGGTCCGAAGGGATCCAGTGCCCAACTACCGACTCCTCCCGGAATTTCGTTATCGGAGCCGAGCCTGGAACGGCCGTTAGTGGACACCCACTACTTTTCACCGGTTAGAGAGGCCCTCTTTAATACATTAAGAAAAGATGTTCACAGGGGCCAGAAAGACTCGGTCATAGGAACTTAGACCACCTACGCGCTGGTAAACGAAAACCACCTCGACCGGATCAGAGTGAAACAACAATGTCGAAATCAGGCCGCCCCTTGCCTTGAAAGAATTCACACGCGGCCACCTGCTTTCCCAAAAGAAGGGGAGATCCGCTGCTTACTGCTCACGGAAACATCCGACCTATACTATAGTCAAGTTGTCCGCCTATCTTTCTTCTTTCTTTTTCTTCTATTCACATCAGATTTTATACTTTCACCAATTCAAGGTGAAAAGGGGGAAAGAAGAGAGCTTTGGGATTCGCTCACTTCTGAATTTGGAGTTATCGAGATTCTCAATGTGGGGAGGCGTTCCTCGGGAATGGCGGTTTTCAGACAAGGGAATCTAAATCAAAATTGGCTAGAATGTTTCCTATCAATAGAGCTTTAACGTCTGCGCATAGAATCGCTTTTTTTGCTCGATAAAGTCCGTTCCTCACAGCAGGACCAGTGTAAACAGGTTCTAGGTCAAGCGATCCTATAGGCAAGTTTGAAAGTCGTTACCCCCCCAATTAAATAGTATTCCACAGAAATTGTTAGTTATTCTCCTGCATTAGATATTTTCTAGCAATCTTAAGGTTAAGGCGAGCAATCTGTAGGTATTCCTCCGCTGCCCTTTATAGCAGGGGATTCCAGTCGAGGCTTCCCCTTTCGAATGATTCAGTGCTCTCTTCAACCGGCGAGTTTAGCCTTGTCAGTGCTCTCAGAAACCAGATCAATTAGGTCTGTGGATCGGCTCACTTTCCCAATCGAAATGAAGGGCTGGCAGTCACTCATTGACAGCTTCTTGGAAGTCAAAGGGAATCCCCCAAATACCGGACAGGAAGCTTTGCAGGTTTGAGACCGGTCTGGGTTTCAATCAGTTCAAGATCTTCCGCAGGAATGCAAGAGGCTTGTCTTTTGTATGTTGATGGCAAGACCCGACATCTGTTTGAACTGATCCAGAATGGAGAGTACACCAGCCACTGAACGGGGAGAACCTTCGGCAAATATAAGCAGATCATCCGCGAAACAAAGGTGTGTCAATCTGAGGCGCGAACAGCGGTGATGATATCCAAACTGGTTTTCCTCGGCACCTCGATTCAGCATATGACCCAGAACATTCATAGCAATAACAAATAAGTAGGGTTAAAGCGATGAAAGTATAGCTGTGCTCCAGTTTTTCGAGTCAAAGTTCTATGGTGAAGAGCCCGGTCAAGGTGACCCTATGAAAGTCAAGAGGTAATGAAGACCTATAAGATCTCCCACATTCTGGCTGGCTTCATGCCGAAAGTATGGACTATTTTGTTTGATATGATTGACCCTGTTTGGTAAAAGAAAGTTCGTGCTATCGGTCATTCACGCAATGAACAGTCTAAGCTCAAATTTCACCGATTTAGTTTACCCCATAACCTGAAGCATCCGAGCCAGCAGGAGAAGCACAAGCAGGTATTTATTACTCGCAAGGGCAGGGAAGTCAAAGCAAAGACGACGAAACCGGTAGCCGAACCACCCCCTTTTTGGTTAAAGCGGACTCATCAAAGGAATCCCCAGCAAGAGGCTCTCCATCCGAAAGAACTGCTTAAACTGGCATCTCCAGGTCGAGTACCAAGATCGGAAGAAAGAAGAGGTGAGGCGTTCCTCGAGCTTACCCGAAGAGAAAAGACAGAAGTCTAAGGGAAGGCACCTATTAGCTTTAGTAGCCCCTTACGGAATGAAAGGAAGGTGCCAAGCCGAAGTGTACAAATCTCATAGGTCTATATCTGCTCAGTCTCTGTTAGCAGCTTCAGTAGGATTCTGGTCTTTTCTTTCCTGCGAGTGTTGAAGTGGGGAAGTCCGGATCAATCCGTCGAAAAAGACGCCATCTCAGTCTAAATGGAAGTAGACCAAGTAGTTTCATAGGAAGAAATGTGAAAGTAGGGGCTGCTAAGCGCCCAGACCCATTGGAGGTGAGGTGAGATAGTCAATGAATGGGGTGGTAGATTCTGGCGCAGTGTCAATTGAGAAAGCGATTGTGACTCTGACCTTCTTATTGGCTGCTGGTCTTGAAGTCTCGCTAACTACTTGGATACCTCCTCTCATTCCTCGGAACGAAAAAGCGAGAGTACATTCTCCTTTTTAGTGCATTTCAGCTGCGTCAGCAGTTTATTCTTTCTTATTCCCTTTCCTGTGTTCATTTTTCAAGTGGTGGATAGGATGAACTTACTGGCCTAAGGTCCTTCTCTTCTCTTTCTTATTAGTAATCTTGTTCAAGTGAGAGGTCCAACGGAACTCGACTGAAAGGAGAGGGACTGACATCTTCTTTTCATTTCTTTCATATCTCCCTTGATTCTGTTTCAGTTTGAAGTAATAGGGAGGAGGCTTGTAGACCTTACAATTGTCTTTGTTAAATACTTATGACCGACTGACTTGAATCTGCTTGCCATTGGTCCTTATCTTTAAGATAATGGTAAGAGTGGTAATGTAGGGCTAGGGGTATAGAATGGAGAGCCTTTGTAGGCCGATAGGTTGATTGAGTCAGTACACCTGACGTATGCTTCTAGAAAGAAAAAGAATGAGATTCAGCTCTGATCACCACCACCGGATGCATTTTTCTTGATCTTCTCGGACTCCAGTAAAGTTTATGCGTTGGGCCTAGAAAGCGGTAAACATCAGCAATGAGTGCTTCGATTGTATTAAATTCTTCTTCTCGATTGGGGAAAGTCCGTTCCATGCTAAGACGCACCAGATCTATGATCTCTATTTTCTACAGAATCGTCTAGCGAGAAAACTCTTTCACTAATCTTTCTTCTTGGCACTTTCGGTCTTCTGCAGAATAGTAGCATTGCATCGTCAATTCAGAATTGATGTGGAGAGCTTGTTCAAAGAACTCGAGTCAACACGCTACTCTGGACCTGGCTCTCTTCTTCATACTTACTGCACGCAGGATAAGATCTACTTGTCCTCCTCCCTTCCCTTTACCTTTAAATGAAAGCTTTCACCCTCTCCTTTTAGTCGAGTAAGAAATACCTCGAGAGATATCGATCTTGCTTCAAGCATGCAATCTTCTTCACTAGTAGGAGAAAGAATCTACATATTCAAGTACAGGTGATTCAATAGCAGCAGACCTCGGTGGGGAGAGGTCTTACTAGCCTTCCCGCACGACTGAGCACAAGAAATGTGTTTTGGTTGTGTTGCCAAAGGAGGCACCACAGTAGTTGGTTTAGGCCACAATAAATGACTACCTTAAAGGGGGAGTAATTGGGTATGATGCCTCCTATTCAAGGAGAAATCCGGTGTTCGTCACACTGGACGCCAACCATCGGACCTGGTTCGTTAGAAGCTCCTGGTGGCCTGAGAGGAAAGAGAATTTCGCCCGAGGAACGCCTTTGGAGGAACCCCTGACTTGTCAAACCTGGTACTAGAAACTTTATTGTCTCTTCTTCACTGATCTGTTAAGATAGCTACTTAATTGAGACGTGGATTAGGATTAATCAAGGGGGGTCAAACCTTCTATTATTAGGGTGGGTCCGTCCCGACTATCTTAACCTATATGGTCTTTATTGACAGCGAAAGCTTTGTATGACTGTTCCGGTAGAGTAATGGGGTTGCTATAAGGGCGAGCTATCTCTTCTCTTCTGTTCGTTGCAATGGAACTGAACGTTCCAAGTGCATCCAGCAGGAATCGAACCTACTTTCCTCTTTATTAGGTTGGGCGCTTTAACCATTCAGCCATGGATGCAAGCGAGTGAACTAGGTTTTGGTATTCCTTCTCGAGCTTCAATTTCTTCCGTTATAGGAGATTCGAGAAAAGATGGAATAGGAAGACGTGTTTCCAGAACAAACAAGATACGGGTTGAGAAGGGGAAGTTAGCAAAGTTAGACAAGATTGGAATGGGCATAGGAACATGTATTGATGTACCAGATCGGCTAATGCTCCCAGGTTGATGCGATGTATTCCACCAGTTGACTGAAGACTTTATTATTGGTATATCGATCGGTCCAGCACGAATTGAAATAGAAGCCGGTTCGACAGGAAGCTTTTGAAAACGCAGTGCACCCAGGTAAATAAGAAACGAGATGAATACAGAGGTCAAACGAGCATCCCACACCCAAAAGGTCCCCCACATTGGTCTTCCCCGAAACCCCCCAGTAACTAAGGTAAACAACGTAAAAAAAGCACCCATTTCTATACCGGTTCCGGAAGAGCGAAGATAAAGGGGATGTTTTGTTAATAGGAACAAGAAAGTGTTTATAGCCGTGGCGATATAAACAATAATACTCATCCGAGCCGCAGGAACATGTACATAGAGAATACGAGAATTTCCACCTTGTTGAAGATCTAGTGGTGCTACCCCAAGACTTAAATGAATAGCCATCGCTGTTAAGAACAACCAAGACCCAATGAGAATTTGCGCGTAGCTTCTGGTCTTTGACATCAAAAAAGAAGGTTGTAATAACGGAACGGACATGTGCAAATTTTGTCCTAGCTAGTGGAACAAGAAAGACATGGATCTATAATACGCAATCAAAGGATTTCCCCCAACGAATACCCTGCTTTGTTTGTTTTCGCTCTGCTTGTGCGTGGCACTCCTTGCTGGCGTAGCGGCGCATAGCGAAAAAAATAAAAAAGGAAACTCACCACCAAAAGAAAAAGGTAGGTTAACTAACGAAACTAAAAACTACATTTGAATTCTTGCTCACCGATAATCCTTTAGAAAAAATCTTATACAACTGTATAGAGGATTATTGGTATAGCTGTCCACTAGCCGAAAATCGGACACCAAATTATTGTGGACTGAATGAAGTAATTGCATAGCTGCCGGGTCTGCCGTATTTGGCAATCCGGCATCCTGTAGAAGTTGAGCGCTCACCTTGCTCAAGAAACTTGTCGTTTCTATATAAGGGTGACTTCGGAGGGAACTCGGACATGAAATTTTTTTTATATTTGTCTAGATACTTTTCCACTTCCTCAACTACAAGATTTCTCAAGAAATCCTCCTTCGCCTTTCTTTTATCCTTTCTTTTATTTCTTGAAGAAGAAGAAGAAGAAGCGGGCGCACGAGAAGGATTTAGCATCGTGTGGATGACGGAGAGGGGGGAAATTCCATAAAGCGCGAACCAAGATCCATGATACGAAAACCAAAATCAGAAGTAGGACAAAACTCAGAGTTAGCAGCATGAACAAAGAACTAGGACATACCAGGTGAGAAGTTCGGCTAAGCCGGAAAGATAGATCTCTTCGATCCTTGATTGATTTGAACAAAAAGAAAGAAAGAAGCCGGTAGCAAAGGAAATGAAATGGCAGCTGTGCTTTATATAACATAATAGCTTTTTGGTCTTCGTTGATCACTTCTGCTTACCCCACTGGAAGACAGGAAGAGCTAGCATCTCTCTTTCCTAAGGCATAAGGCGTTCCTTGAGGAGTACAAGCCAAAAGGTGCCATAGTCGTCGCAAAGGTTCAAGCAAGGAGGAAGTAGGTCTCAAAAAAATCTGAGAGGGGAGGTTGCTCTGNCGGTCAGAACGGGGAAAGCTGCTCTTAGAGCTATCTCTTTCCGATCTAGGCAGATGGTTGAATCTAATGCGAGTAGCACTAGGCCTAGAGCGGAATATTAGGTAGTACGAGTTGCTATATTTTTCCATCCCCCTTCGGGAAGAAACTCTCTTTGACTTTTGAGAAGATAGACCCAAGTAGCCCTTGAATGATCATCCACTATGGTTCAAAAATATCGAAAACCTTCTGTTCTGTGGTTTCAACTGAAAAAGGGCCCAAAATGTCAATGTGAATCAGATCAAAAGGTTCATCACAAATGTTATTATGAGATTGAAAAGGTAAGTGTTTTTGTTTAGCCAAAGGACAGATTTTACAAATGGTCTGAGATTTTACAAATGGTCTGATTGACCTTTTTATTCTTATGAGTAGGGAGTCAATCTGAAAGGATAGCAGTTTTAGAAGAAGGATGGAGCAGAAAGATAGAAAGATCAGTTGCTGGAAATCAAATATGTAAATAGTCGAGTTATTGCATTCCTCTCACAAACTATCAATTTCATAAGAGAAGAAAGATCGTTTTTAGAAACTATCAATTTCATAAGAGAAGAAAGATCGTTTTTAGAAAAGAAAGATCGTTTTTAGAAACTATCAATTTCATAAGAGAAGAAAGATCGTTTTTAGAAAAGAAAGATCGTTTTTAGAAACTATCAATTTCATAAGAGAAGAAAGATCGTTTTTAGAAACTATCAATTTCATAAGAGAAGAAAGATCGTTTTTAGAAAAGAAAGATCGTTTTTAGAAACTATCAATTTCATAAGAGAAGAAAGATCGTTTTTAGAAAAGAAAGATCGTTTTTAGAAACTATCAATTTCATAAGAGAAGAAAGATCGTTTTGAGAAAAGAAAGAACGTTTTGATTCGAGGCGGATCCCTTTTTTCTTTGCCTTTACGAGTAAGAAAGTGGTTACGCTCCGCTGGGGAGACGGAACTGTAAATTCCTACTGTGGTTCGAGTCCACAAACCACTGAGAGCTCTGGCATCGGTTCAGGCTAAATCCTGAAGAAAGCTAGAAAGCGCTGTTTGATGAGCCTGCGTCCGATTTGTGAGTTGGTTAGGTAAAGGCTGACCAAGCCAATGATGCTTAGCTGCCCAGTCGTGCCGAGGAATTCCCATCCGACCAGAGGAGGGAAGAGAGTGACTAAGCAGCAGCTCCACTTGTCGCGTACTTCTTTAGCTGCACCGTCATCGCCGGCCGGACAAACCCTTCCAACAAATGGGGAGTGGGCCAAAGGAACACGACACATCCAGTGAAGAGATCCCGGACAGGGAAGTCAGAAGGTCTGCAAGCCTCGTCTTCGCCCCTGCTTTAGCTGCACTTGGTGCGTAAGAGGGAGACCCGGTCGCTCAGATACAGACAGCAGCTCATTTTACGCTTAAACACATCCCAGGGAATTAAAGGAATACGGGCTCCGCCTAGCTACCTGATCCCATCATGAATAGGAATTACCAGCGAACCAAGAGAGATAGATTCAACAGAGGAGAAGGGGTGGCGTGCTTTAGCGACACCTTCAAGACATCCAGGAGTGATCTAGACGAGGTGGGACATGCCGGCTAGAGTACATGCTTCAACTGGAACATCGCTTCGCTACTCTTCCCTCCCTACCCCTACGGTCGTACACTCTGTTGATAGTTCGCCAATGGCTCACAACCAGACAATCATAGTATGTTCGTTCGTTCACTTCGTTCTCTCTCTCCCCTTCTCCCGTTAGCTTGTTCCCCTCCTCCCTTCCCAACCTTCCCAGCCCTTCCTCCAAGAGTAGTTACGCCTTTTCCGTCAGTGGAGAGAGCGAGCAACGACCTGTGAGCGACCGTAGCTCCCTCTGCAAGTGGTAAGGCGCAGTTCACCCCCTATCGAACGGAGGAAGATCGCTGTTGATGTCATGACTAACTTCTTGATTCTTTGATGAGAGAGGCGTGCGTGTGAAATGTCTGATTCATGGCTTGGTTAACGAGATGTCCCAACTGGTACTGGAGCACACCCGTCTGGTTCGTACCATCATTGGCTTGTTCATCCTTTACCTAAGCCTAATCTTCTTCTTCATAGCACACTCTGCTACAGCACACTACGCTTCTGTGCTGCTCAGTAGTGACTGCTAGGGAGTTAATCACACCAGGCGGGCTTGCTTCGCTAGAAAAGAATTCCACTAGTGTGTGCTGCTGAGAGTGAACTATGTTACTCGGAACAATATCTGAAAGGAAGCTTAAGGAAAGGCCTTAGTATTCTTTCTTCAAAGGCGTTCCCTGAACAACTACAGCTCGATAGAGACAACTCGGAAACTAGCACTGAAAAAGGGCATACTATCAATATGATCAATATGATATTACCTCGGTGTGCTAATCAAAGGTAAAGAACTGAATACCTAGATTTCTCTTATCCTTCCTTAGGTCCTCATGAATTAGAATAAAGTAAGGGAGCACACCGATCGAAACCTGTTTACTTTCGAAAGTTGACCCGCCACCTACTACTTGTAGTCAACCAAAATTGCTTCGCTAGGAGTGTGCTATTAAAAGCTGTTGATCGGCCTATGGCACTTTACTAAACCTAGGAGAGGAGAACTGCTACTATCTATTGCATGGGTGCCTGCGTGTAAGAGGTGTAAGAGAAAGAAAGAAATTTCCGTCAACAGGATTAATCCCAGCGAAAAGAAGGCGGAAAGCCTATGAAAGGTGGAAAGCCCTAGCGGAGCAATCTTAAAGATGGAAAGCTCTTAAAGGTGGAAAGCCAGCACAAGCACACTACTGTGAAAGCTAAGAGTACTTCTATATTAGGAATTTTGCTAGTGGCGGATACGTACTATCTTCTTTATATTGACATTCTGCTACCCGGGAATCCAGTTCGTAAAACTCGGAGATATCAAACGGAAGTAAAAAAAAGCAGAGAAGGATTAAGACTAACCACTTTTTCGACATCCCTTCATGAAGCGCAGCAACATTTCGGAAGACTGCTAAAAGCGAGAAGTCCTGACCTTCGTTACTAGAGCACAGAAAAAGCAACAGTGTGCTGTACAGAGAACTTGCTTCGATAGGAAAAGAAAAGCTGTATTTCTAAGCTGGGAATGTTGGGTAAGAGTCCGCCTATTACCTCTAAAAAGTGGAGGAGGTGAGACCCCTGTTGGAGTCAACTTTTGAATTTACCGGCTTTGGAGAAACCTTTTCAGTTGCTTAGTGCGAATCCCACGTTTCGAGGGTGGGTAAGGTCTCAGTACCTCGGATATAGCACAGAAAGGCCTATAGCATCCAATACCACTTTTCAGGTTACTTCCTTGTGAGCTTGTCAGACAAAGTAGGCGACGGTGTGCTGCACTACATCTCCTCAGCAGTTGATCGGTCAGGTTCCTTGCCTTGCTTAACCCAGCTCGAGTATTATTCGAAACGAGGAATATCCTTACTCTAGAAGCTCAGAGTTAAGAGTTAAGGGAAGGTGTTAGCTAAGGAATTAGGTCTTCCTCTTCGAAAGGAGAACTCTAGTCTACCGTGGTGGGTAGTAGCTACTCCCAGTACATCTATCATCCGTGACATCCATGGCAACTACTACTTTTCATTGCTGTGCTGTTTAATCGATCGAACAAAACTCCTAAGGTAGAGATCTTAAGAAGAGGACGAGCTCAACTCCCGATTGTTCAAGCTTAGATACCTCTTTGATTTGGGATTGACGAAACAGTATAAACCTTTATAATAGGCCTATTTTGTGCGTTTAATCACCTTTCTTTCATCTCTGAGCCAGCTATCCTTTCAGAATAGGGCTTTCCGCTTTCTTTTAAGGTGAGGAATCTTAGGAGTTCAGCTTTTTCGATTAAACGAAGAATTCTGTCATTTCAGATGGGATTCCAAAGCAAGGCTAGTTATCTATGTTAGCTTCATTCCTGTGAAGTTGGTTTCTAGTTTTTATCTTTGAGTTGGCAGTAACATGACTAGCAGCATAGTACGCACACACGAAAGTCAAGGGATTGTCTGGCCCTGCTACCTACCCAACATGAGCACACTCCGAAAT